TTTAAATTTAATAAAAATAATATAATTATTATTATAATTACCTAGCTAAATTAAAAATAGCTTTTTTATTATAAATATAAATAAATATATTATATAATATTATTTATTAATAAATTTAAGCTTTTTTAATAATATTATAGTTAATAATTTATTCAAATATTTATTAATAAACCTTAAGTATTTATAATTAATTAAAACCTAGTTTTATTTATATATATTTTTAAAGTTATACTTTTAATTATATATTATATTTTATAATACTTTAATAAATTAATAAAAATAAATTATATTATTTAAAAAATAGTTTTTTATATTATTATTATATACTTTAATACTAAAAGTTATATAAATATTAAAATTATAATAATAATAATAAAGTAATATATTTATTAAACTTTAATTAATAAATAAATATTATATAAGTAGTTTAAAATTATTTAGTAATTATTAAACTTTATATAAAAGTTCTTTTATATTTATTTATAAACTTTTTTTATTTTAATATAAAGTATATACTTTTATATAAGTAAAATATTTTAATAAATATAAAATCTTTTTTTATTAACTAAAGTATTAATAAACTATTTATTTATAATATTAAGCTTTACTTATAATTATAAAAAAATATTTTTATTATTACTATTACTTAAGCTACTACTACTCTTTTATATTTGTATTTATTTTTACTTAAACTTAAATATAATATTTAAAAAAAATATACTATATATAAAGCTATTGTTATATATTAAAAAACTAATTATTAAAAATAACTTTTATTAAATTACTAAAATTAATAATAATAATCTTAAGCTTTTTAATAAAATAATAATTAAAAAATTAATATATATTTTTAATAAAATATAAAATTTATTTTTTATTAAAATACTTAATTAATATTATAGTAAGTATATAATTATTAAGCTTTTTATAATTAATTTATACTTAAGTATTATAAATATTTTTTTATATAAATATAATATTAAAGTATTTTTATTTTATTATAATATAACTATTATATATATAAGTATTAATTTAATAACTAGTTAATTTAATAATTACTTTTATAAGTATAATAAAGTAGTAATATAAAAGGTATATAAAAGTAATTATATTATATTTATAGTTATATTAGCTATAATTTAAATTTTTATAATACTTTAAAAGCTATTTACTTTTTTTTAAAGCTTTAATAATTATTATTTATTTATAACTATACTTTTATAATTTTTATATTTATATATTAATACTTTATAAAGTATAAAGTTATTTAAATTAATTATATTAAATAAAAAATCTTATTTACTATCTTTTATAAAAATATTTATTTTATTAAATAATATTAAATTTATTTTCTTTTATAAAAATATTTACTATATTAAAAAAAGCTTTAATTAAAAGTATAGAGTATTAAAAATAAATAAATTTAAAATTAATTTAAGTTTTAGTAATATAAACTTTTAAATAAAAAATAAATTAATATTTATTAATATAAGTAATATTTAAAGTAATTATATAAATAATAAACAAGGCAGTAAATATAATAAAAGGAAATTATATATATTTAAGCTTAAAGGCAACTAGCTTTATTTTTTTTACTATATTTATATATATTTAAATAACTAAATAAAGTCTATAGTTAATCTTTAACTTTTATTAATAACTTTTTATATAATACTTATAATAGTTTTAAACTTAGCCTTTATTTTTATTAACAGCTAGTTTAAAAAAAAACAATAATTTTAGCTTAAGAAAAAGAAAATATTTTACTCTAGGCCTAATATAAGCTCTTTAACCTACTACTTTTGTAGTTATTTATAAAGGAAGTTACTATAAAAATATATATTATAATTAAAGTAAAAGTTTTAAAAAAGCTTATAGGTATTTTATAAATTTATAAAAAAATAATAAAGTTAAAAATCTTTATAAATATATAATAAAAAGGTTATTAAACATATTATAATTATTATATTTATAATATTAATTAATATTTAAAGTTAAACTATTAGCTAAGGTTAATTATTTATAAAATAATTAAAATAATATAATTTAATAGCTTTAATACAGTTATTTTTAAAGTTTATTTTAATAATTTAGTTTTATAATTTATTATAATATTTTTTACTATTATTATTATTAATATTAATATTTTAAAAATAAACTTTACAGCTTTATTTTTTTTAAAAATTAATTACTAAAACTTAAGCTTTCCTATTATTTAGCTTATTTAAAGCTTATACTTTAAAAAATAAATATTATAAATTAAATAAAAGCATTAATATTATAAAAAAAAAGTAATTATAAGTTATTTTAATTTATAAATTAAAAAAGTAAAAGTATATTTTTAATTTATAAATAAAAAAGCTTAATATATTTATATATATTTTTTAAATTATAAATTAAAATAGCTATAAGCTATAAAATAATAGTACTTAAGGTAAAGGCAGTAGAATTTTATTTAAGTTAATATTTTTTTTTTCAGTTAATAAAAAAGTATAAACAATTATATATCTATAAGATTATATATCTATAGTAAAATAGTTATATATCTCTATTAATTACTTTATATATTATAAATATAAAATATTTTTTATAGTTTAATAATTAAATTTATTATTTATTAACTTTTTTATAAAAAAATTAATTATAATAATTATATTTAATTATAAAACTTTTATTAATTTTATTTAATTAATTTATTTTATATATAAATTTAAAATATAAAATTAATAAATAATATTTATTAAATAAAAAACCCTTATAAAAATAATATAAAACTTAAATAGCCTTTACAACTATAAGAAATATACCTGGAATTAATAAAATATAATAAATAATAACCAAAAGTTAGGTTATAACAAAAAGCAACAGTTATAGATTCGGGCTATGCTTAATCCCTATAGGCTTTACAGTCCTTATCTAGCTACCTAAATAAGCCCTGCTAAATTAAGCTTATAGAGGAGTTAGTTGCCCTTGATGTTTGTAATACCTGTTATTGTATGCCAATAAGCCTGGAACAAAATGTTTTTGTTAGACTAACACGCCTAGCACAAGAGGCCTTACAATCCCTAGCTATAACAGCTTTAGCATAAAGCTTATAGAATAGGAGATTTTTATAATAAAGCTAGAAGTCTATAAGCTATTATTAATACTAGTACTAGCTTAAGCTGCTAGTATTAATAGATTATTTTTAGTTATAGTAGTATAGTAGTATACTTTTTTATATATTAAACCAGGATTAACTTTTTAAATATAGTTCTAAACTAAAACATTTAATATTAAATAATAAATATATATAAAACTTATAAAAATATATATTATATATTAATATAATTTACAAATTTTAGTATAACTTAAGTTATAATATAGTATTGTTTTTTAAAAGCTATTATAAGAATAAATATATAAATTCTGTTTTAACTTTATTATAATAGTTGGCTTAATTAAGGGCGAAGCTTATTGTTAATTAACCCGTTGATTACTATTTCTTAATATATATTCTTTGAAACTCTACCTTGACTGCGCGGGATCGATGCAAACATGCCATAGATGGCTTATTTTACTAACTCCTAACCAATCACCTAAGCGAGTCGTGGGTTGCAATCCCCACAGTTCATGGCCAAGCAAGTCACATGCCGGAAGCACCGCCTCTTTAACTGGTATAATTTGTGTGTCAAACCCCGCATTATAAGAACTTCAAAAGAAACTGAATGACTCGAGAGACTTCATGCTTCTTTCGTCACCATCATAATATGCCGAAAAGGAAAGCGTGCGGCTCTTGTCGTTCTAAGAAGGTATTGCTTCGCCCTCTCGGTATTACTTCAGAAGAGGTGTCTGAAAGATCCCAAAGATCCATTGTGACGGAGCCAGACCGCGATGTGAATGGTGCGAGTACCGCAATTTGGCTTGCGTTTACGATGAAGATCAGCAAGAGGAGTTGGTTCTTTGCAATCCATTCAACACGAGATATGATAAGCCCTAATAATAATAAATTAGCTCGACAACATCTCAGATGGGCATATCACTACTCTTTGGAACGGACCTATATCTTCAAGACCACAATTTGCTATCCTCCGACGTTATCCCAGATGGCCAACAAGCTTTGGGTGATGGTGTGGAGCCCACGGAGGCAAGATTTCAAGAATCAACTGATGATATATCCTATGGTGGATTTTATTTTGCAGGATACAATTTAGGGGACATTAGCTCACGGAACGGCATTCCCGTCTTTTCTAAACAGACGCGGCTCTGGATCCAGCGGCACGTTGGTGTTGAGGCATTCACAGCTTTCAACACTATGATCGAGCATGACCGAGCGATTCCCACTTGTCATCAAACCATCAATTCGGCGGGTTGGGACGCGCTACCCCCTCGGCATATAATCGAAGCTTACATCTCCATATACAAGGCATCGCCCTTGCGGTTGGTCTTCCCAATTATTCAAGAGACGCTATTCCAACGAACTGTTAGTCTAGCCTATGAGGATACTCCTTCATTTCTTGGAAGAGATGTTTTAAATGCAAAAACCTGCATCCTCGCTTTTACAGCCGCCTTGTCGGTTCTTGAGCCAGAGCAGACAGCCGTTCTTTCCAATAATGCAGCATTATGTGCCGACAGAGCTGAGCAGTCAATTTTGTCTGTGCTGGCAGCGCCGACAATTGATGGTCTTCAAGCATCAATTATGCTGGTGAGAGAACACTTCAAAAGGCGATTTGCCTGACCAACTAACAGCTTTTACCTAGTTACTATATCGGGACTTTTGTGGCCAGCTTCAGGCTGCCACTCTTCTTCACTCGATTTCTTGGCGATGTGTGTCGCTTTTCCGGGCACATGTAAGACCGGACACAGGAGTAGGAACCGACACGGTTAGAGGACAGTGCATTGTTGAACACCTTCGTGGGTTGTTTTGGTTGTGCTATTTCTTTGATAAGCATATCTCATTACGGTCTGGGCAACCTCCAGTCATAGACGATAGCCTCTGCGATCTGACAATCCCTCGAGAGTATGCTGGTTGCGTCTCTATACAGCAGGCAGCCATGGAGCCATGTTCTTGGCAGTCATCCCCGGACCTTTTTCCTTGTGACCTTGAACTGACCAAGTTGAAATCCAAGGTCTTTACCGTTCTATACTCGTACAGCGCTTTGACAAAGCCAGATGCGCAACTGCTGCGCGATATCCGCGAGCTTGATGCTGAACTTGAATCTTGGAGAATTTCTGTGCCTTCGAATATTAGGCCATGCCTGTCAAAAGTCACGGGTGTCGTTGAGAGCAACGTTCCCCAGAGCTTAGGCATGTATGTTGTATTCGTCCACTTTGAGTATTTGTTTTTGCTCGCAACGATTCACCGGGCTTGCGGCCGCTGTCAGGCTTGGCGAGATAATGGAGTTGATGCACAAGAAACTGCGCTTCACTCTAGTTTGGCGTTGTCGGTGCAGGGCAGCCGATCCACGTTGCGGCTTCTTAAGGTTGCATTTTGGGACATTCATAGAGAATCATTTTGGTATGGTGTGACTTGGCCGTTCAATGCTGCCTCGTATTTCATGCTGCTGACTATATTGTCATTCCAGGTTAATCATTTTCTATCCCATGTGGGCCACCATAACGATCTTTTGTAACCTTCTGTATAATCCAGGATTTGAAGCAAATTCAGACTTGGAATTATTAAAATTGCTTCCGAGTCTGATAAAGGGAATGCATATTCGACAAGTAAGCGCAATCGAAAGAATGCAGTTAGATTTGCTAGATTCATTCTTTGGGGAGATTGTCCGCCTCGCAGAATGTGCCATCCGTCATGGGCCTAACAGTGTAGATATAATAGCGTGAGCAAACAGCTCATAGCTGTAAGTGCCAGATGGTATGAAATATCTTCGATGTAGTCAATATTGAATAAACAGAGCGCTAGAAGTTTTATAAATGCTTGCAAGTTGCAACCGTGCTTCCCCGCAAGTTAGTACTCCGCGTTGCAAAACGAATCCCGCTTACAAAGCGGGCAGAGCCGCATTAATCATGCATCTCCGGCTACATGTACTCCGTATTCCATACTTTGCCCATTATCGGAGCTGATTTGTTTGCAATCCGCTTATAAACAATAAAACCACCATCACCATATAAAGTTTGTATTTAGCGACTCGGGATGTATCTACAAAGGGTCCGTAGAAATTATAATATGATTCTGTTCTCCAAGGGACAGTTGTTCTGTTCTAATTGCTGGTTTCCTTCCATTCTTCGGCCATATATATCATCTTAACATTTATGAAGAACAGTCTATCTGCTATCATCACTCATCATGGTTATTTCTAACCATAAGCTGATGGCCTTTGAATTTCCGGATGGCCCTTACCCTCAGCCATTCAATGTCGAGCTGGATGATTCCTTCCTTGAGATGACCCTCAGAAAGGTCAGGGACTATAGACCCACATTTGGACTATCAGACCAATGGACCATTGAGGGGCCTCCTTCCAGAGCTCTCATAGACGTTGCAGATTATTGGAGCACAAAATACTCTTGGAGAAGCGTGGAAAGGAAAATGAATGATGATTTCAATCACTTTGCGACAACAGTTCCAGGCAGTGACGAGTACACTGACCCTATTTCCTTCCATTACATTCATCAGCGCTCGCCTACTCATAACGCCATTCCACTGTTACTCTTGCATGGTTGGCCCTCAACTCTCCTTGAATGGTCTAAGGTTGTCAGACCATTAGGCGAGCACTTAGAACAGTCATTTGACATTGTCGCACCCGACCTCCCTGGGTTTGGCTTAAGCCCGGCTCCCAAGCGGTCAGGACTAGGCCCTCGGGCGCTGGCTCGAGCATTAGACGCCCTCATGCTTCAGCTTGGTTACGAAAAGTATGGAATTGTCACCACTGATATAGGCTGGTTTATCGGCATGTGGATGGTAAATGAAGTTAAGGATAGCATAATTGGCCATATGACCGACTTTTTCATTGCTCCACCAACTCCTGGCGACCGGGCCCTGCAGGCAAAAGGAGAGGCAAGCACCGAAGAATCTGCTTACATTGCCTCGTACGACTCTTGGTTCGAATCTCACTGGGCCTACGCAACGGTTCATGCACAAAAGCCGCTAGCTCTGTCTCAGGCTCTTGGTGACAGTCCAGTTGGACTGCTCGGTTGGTATTGGGACGTTAACAATTCCACTAGTGACGGCTTTGAATATAGCTTTGAGCAGCTGATCACTGATGCTATGATGCTGTGGATTCCGGGGCCGTATGCAAATTGTCGGGCATATTTAGAATTTTTCAAGGTTCGTTTTTATTCATCCTTTTAATGTGCTGTACTAACAATTGAAAGCCTGATGTCATGGATTTTCCGCCAAGTCGCGTTCCGACAGGAGTGTCTGAATGGGGCTGGTCAAAAGGACCATTCTCTAAAATTGGAGATTTTGCCTTCGCCGTAAGTGCTGATTTAAATCCGTGAGGTAGTAGCAGTAATATTATGCTGACGTCTGAACAGCCCATGGAGTGGGTCAAGCGGACAACGAACTTGGTTTATTTTAACAAGCACGATGAGGGCGGGCATTTCCCTGCTATTTGTCAACCCGATCTATGGGTCCAAGACGTCCGCACCTTCTTTGGCCAGTTGAAGGAGTCGGGCATATGAGTTGGTTAGTGAAGTCAAATATGACAGAACGTTCGAAGTAGTATACATACGAAGTAGGATCAATATTGCAGTGATATCTAAACTGTCATATATTATAATTGCCTTATTCTTTCACTTGTTCTCATTAAACCACTGAAAAATGCAATATGGGCCAAATTAAATGGTAGTTTTCTCTGAGCTAGGGGCTTTAGATGATCATTGACCGAAGGTTAAAAGAGTTAGTATTTTAGGTAATGCGGACAGACCATTGAAAATGAAAGAGTTCCATCGGCCATGGAAAAGCTTCTCGTGCGTTTTAGATTCCCGTAAAATAAGGAACTTGCAGGGAGAGCTTAATTAAGATCCATAATTGCTTCGTGACAAACCCTCTCTTGTCACTCATTGCGATCTAATAAGGTGCATAGGTCATGAGAGGCCCTTGGCTATAAGTTTTCAAACCCTGGCTTTGTCTTCCATATGGGGGAAAGAAGCGCTGGCAAGAAACCCGTCTATTCATAGCAGGGCGACGGACATGTTCGAGATTTTCCATCAAGGCTAGAGCATCGCGGGCCGACCCGTAATATACATACATGGTACTTGCGCTCTACAGCCTAGAACGAGAACTTTTTCGAATTACCTCCAAAGAGTCATGCTCCTTTTCTGCCGAAGTGCTTTCGTATAGTCGTTACTATTAATGCCGGATTTTGCACCTTTTCATGAGTTATATGGTTGCTTTGCTAGATGCTGGAAGAAACCCAGGATCTGCCAAGAAGACGCTATCTTCCGTATCAACGGTAGTCTTGAAATGGCATGACATTTTTGACATCCTTTTTGTTCCATATTTGCCTACCACACTTGGCCTATAACCAAGGCGTACCCCCGTTGCCCCCCGACACTATCCCTCCAAAGCTCAAGGAAGAGCAGTGCCTCCTGTTTCAGGTCGTCCTAGAACTAGGAGCATCTCTACTAGTTTGAAGCATCGAGCCATAAGGTACTGTAAAGTTAATAAGCGCGCAAAATTTCCGACATGGAATTAAAAATACATTTTGGGGGTGTTATGAACCCTCAAATAGGTATTCTTTTCCTCCAGGGTTCATACCAGCCAAAGTAGCTAAGTGTCCGCTTAATAAGCGGATAGCGGCTCCATCTCCGCTTTCACGTCCCCGCAAGTTAGTACTACGTATCCCCCTTATCACTTCGTTTGGAGTTGCCAATAACTCTACTGTCCATTCGACACGGCAAGCCTGAAATAGAACCGTCGGCAAGACTCTCTGTAATATATTCATTATACAAGATACTATAGTTGGATTTAGTGAATTTTTAATCTTTGTCAGGTTTTTTTTTTTTTAAATAGTTATATAAGCAACATTATAATCTGTCTAGCTATAATAGGAGTGTAATAGATTGCTGTTTTTAGAATACATTCAATCACCAATATTATAGCGCTTTACTTGTTATAATCTAGCAGTCATCTTATTATATTATAGCAGTATATTGCGCTAAAATACTACATAGGTATAATTGTATAAAAGCAGCGTAATATCGTCTGTTTAAACTGGCTAGCATACCCTTTCTGCCTGGCAAGGATTAAAAAGTCGCTGCATCCCACTGTACTTGCGATTAGCTTATAAAAGCTCCTCCTTGTCCTTATCCAAATGATCTTGAAACAAGCAAGTCGCCAGCGACGATCTAAAAATCTCTATAGCCCAGACTTTTGACTGTCAGAAGCATTTGGGTTGTCCGACCCGATATCCTAATTTATTTTCTCATTATCAAACTACAATACGATTACAAACATGACTTCCATTCAGAACCTCGTATCTCTCCTTGCGGCAGTGCCAACCCCTGCTCCTATATCAAGTACAGTTATGCCAACCACAATTATGGCCCCTACAATTCGCCAATGTCGCGAAGTGAATGTCTTCTACACGTTAGAACTTACATTAAGTCACTAACCTTGAAATTCGATGCTGATATTATAGTAGTGGCTTTCCCGGCTATCATCCCCTCGTTCTCGCCCAAGGTTGGGATCCTCTCCGTGTCGAGATTGGCATTCGCAACGAGACCGCGAATCTGGTCAAGGCTGGATACAATGTCCATGGTAGGCGCTTTACAGCTTTCTCTTTCTCTTTTGGCTGTTGGGTAGCGTGCTAAATTTTACAAGCCGTCTGGGCTGGTGTTGAAGTCCCCATCAGCGAGATTGAGGATCGTATGGACCAGAGCGGAGTCAACTGGGATGTTACCGCAGTAGGCTTTGGCATTCGTGGGGCAACTTTGGAGCCTATCGTGGAGCGCTTTGAAGGTGAAGTTCAAAATCTTGGCGCATTTCGCGGAAATTCAGGACTAAAGGCTAATAACTTGCAGATCTCATTGAGTTGTATGCTCGAAAGACCCCCCATGCTCGCATAGTCTTTAACCATAGCCCTGAGAGTTTCATTTGGTCTGTTGCTCACCGTATAGCCTTGGCCGAAGACTGCGAAGCTGCTGGCAAGCCCGGCAAGTTGATTGTAAGTGACCCAATGCTACCGGAATCGGTATCTATGGATGTTATCGTTGAGAACTTGTGATCGCTTGCTAACAAAAGAAGGGTTATGAGGAGATTTGCGACTCCCGATGCGATCGTGATGTTTCTAGCAAAGACAAATATAAAAACCACGATGAACTGTAATTATCTGCCAGTCTAGCGCAGCATTGCAATTAGGAGCAAATGTTTTATATGCTAACTAGATCAGCTGTCGTAATCAAGCCAATAGTATTCCCTTACATGAGATACAAGATTGGTTACCTTTCTGAATTTTTCATGGTCGTAGACTTTGCAATCGTTATAGGTGTACTAGCATCAGTTAAAACATTGTATAAGATAGTGCTTATACAGTGCAAATTTATTATTTAACACGGTATTTGTATATTTTATTACTGCATTATAATATTTATACCGCTAAATTACAGCTGGAATGCTTATCCTACTACAGCAATATTATAGCACTTATACACCTCTATTGCATCAAATTAGTGGTTAGGAGTCATCGGTTAGTAGTTAGAGTTAGCGGGTAAGTAAGGGCTAATGGCCAAAATTAGCGGTATACCAAGTATTTTAGTATTTATGGCTGGGAGGAGGACGTTTATGTACAGTGTATGTACAGTGAATGGGGTGCTGGCTATTTAAAACGGGGTGCCGTATAATCAATCCCTAAATAAATCATTGATGAAGCTCTAGCTCCAGAGAAAATACAATTAAAGACGAAGATATCTGCATTGAGATGACGACTGCCTTCCATTTCTTTGCAAGGCCACCAACATAGAGTCCTCTTATAACGACACTGCAAGGAAGTACCCCAACTTGATTAGGACTCGGCCGAACAAACTATGTCCTATAAACCAATAATAACTTTCTTAGCAAATCCTAATGGATCTGTAAATTATTATAAAAATGCTCATGAAGGTGATCTTACGATTTACAAGGGGAAAACAGTCCGCAAGCAAGAATAAAAACGGTCGTTTTAAGGGATTTTTTATATGCATATGTCCGACATTCGGTGGGCGATTCGCTCTGCAACAGTAACAGGCGATATCCTGGGTCCTAGGTCGAAGCAAGATGTGTCACGAACAGAAGATCCATTCAAGACCTGCTCATAGAGTGTAAGGATTCTCGTTGTTATATGAAACAGCATAGGGACATAAGATGCAATTGATTTTATCAAATCTGACATGACATTTAATTATTGCACAAGATGGTGGTGGCCCCTTTGATATAGTTCTTTGGCTTGGCAGGAGCAACAGCTCATTTCCGTAATCTGGTGCTACGAACGACATTGAATATAGATACGGCCTGATAATTCTTTACCATATTCGTGGTGATGTTCACCTACAAGCCAGGCCTGGTCCGTCAGCGTAGTGGCGTTCACAGTCTTTAGGGCTTCTGAGTCTCAGGCTAAGTCACGCTGGCAGTTTGATCAAAGACTCGGCTGGCCCAAAGACGGAAAATAAAAAAGCGGAGTGGGAGGGGCAGCGCTCAATTGCCAGGTATAATAAACGCACAACCTCGGACATTCTCTCCATAGGTGAACGCTGCTTCTTGCCAATATGTCTGACACTGTCCGTCGGAATGGGCAGCTGTCATCGTGTGAGCCTTGCCGCAAATCAAAACTGCGCTGTGATCATGGTCGACCTCGATGTGCTCGCTGCGCCAGACGCCGGCTGACAGAGCAATGCTTCTATCACCCTGCGCCGATGGCACGACGCCAGCGCAGCGAGTCGCACGTAGCCGCAGCTTTGTAAGTCATGTTAGTCTTTGGTTCACTCGGCTTTCCCGCGATTGAGAACTTACACGCCAGTCGGGTCTCTTTAGCGTTCCAGCCGATGTTACCCAGCGGCCGCTTGAGACCATGGCAGAGGCATCGAGCTTGACAGTATTGCGCTCGAGTTTATCCTCGTCTCTGCCGACGTCTTCTTCGGCCTCGTCGATTCCTGCTGCATTTGATCTAGCTACTGGTTTGGTTACCATGCAAAGTTATGTTTTGTCACCAACAGAGGTTGATCAAACGACATCTTCACGCCAATACACGTCCCTAACTCGTACTGGAGTTTCTCATCTGCTGCAACCATTCCATGCGCATTCTTCTCTCGTAATAGAGGGTGAAAACTTACTGCAGCTGCTCCTTGACCACTATTCCCACCCAGACCTCGAAGAATTGGTCGAAAACTGGTATACAGATCTCGGAGACAGTCCAGTTGGTGGTCCTTTGGCTAAGGCGGCTTGGCGCGCCATTCAGAGCAATGTGCAGAACCTTCATTCTAGTCGATCACTGAACCGCCTCCAGGCCACTTCTCGAGATATTTTTGACAACACTTCTCGACCACTCAACATGCCCACGACGGCCGCAGATGGCGCTCTTGAAAAGGAACTTTGTTCTATCCGATGGGAAACTGTTGGAATGTATTTCGCGCTCATCGGGATGGTTATTGCATCAACCAAAAATTCCAGCACCAACTTTTCGGGTCGCCAGTGGTTCGGCGACCGTAAGGCAACGTCCAGTGATGCTTTTGACGCCTGTCTACGATGCGAGGCTCTCTGTAACCGCGTTGGCCAAATGAACGACCTATCCGTGTGGCTTGCGGTCCTGGCCACGACACTCTCCACCTGGTGTTTTGGTGACGATTCTTGTCAGGCCTGGCGTCTAATGGGGAATTTATCGTCCGTCATATTCGCCCTCAACTATCACAGAGGCTTTCAAGATGACATGAATACTCCAACATACTTGATTGAGCTTCGAAAGCGAGCCATTTCCCTATCGCACGAGCTAGATAAGTCCCTGGCGACGTTTGTCGGTCGACCACCACGCTTGAATAGGAGCTATTGTACCATAGAATTACCCCTTGACCTCTCAGACTCGGTCATCGTCGGGCCTGACGAAATGTTAGAGCTACAAATATCGCGACTAGATGATAATGGTTGGAATAAAGACATGGCTGTACATCCAGCGTCTCGTCAGCGAGCGATCATTTGGCTAAGCTCGATCCGTGAAGAAATCCTCGAGTTGTCACTGGGAACTATAACTCAAGATCTCGTTCATGAAGCTCAGTAAGCAACCAGACAAAGACCACCTCTCCCCTCCTTTTTTTTTTTTTTTTTTTGGTTAACTGACTGACGTACCCAAGGGGAATACTGGCTCGGTCGTCGTCGACCTGGGAGACTATGCCTCACTTCATGCAGTATAAGCCATCGCTATGGGGCCAAATGGTACCTTCGACCATTCTAATGCTTCTGAGCCTAAAGCTCGAGTATTTGTATAGCCAATTTCTTCTATACAAGATACTAGTGAATCAAAGCAGTGGCTATCGTCATGCATTGATTCAAATTTCCCACGAGACCCTAGGGCTAGTGCTCTCAGTGATGAAGGAGAGAGATTTCATAGGCTCCCATAGGATCGACTTGGAATGGACGGTAAGTAGTTCCAGGTCTGTATTACTGATACGGACTAACTAGTTGCAGATGGCATTCTACGCGATGCCATGCGCGAGTGTCTTGATTCTGGAATTGTTTCGACTAGCCAGCTTGCCAAAACCACAGCCATCTGTCGCTTCGAACAGGTCGGCCATCATTCAGGACATCAGCGTTCTCATATCATGCTGCGACTGGCTAACTGAGTCGGGAAAGGGCAATTATGAGTTGTGCAAACAGGCTCAATTGATCTTCTCGAAAGCTCTGGACCAGATCCTAAATCATGAGATGCCTTTAACGCGATCACTGCCGGACAGCCAAACCGTGAATATGTACGATGCGCCATCGGCAGAGCTTACTGATGCTCAAAACCCGGAAAATATCACTCAAGATCTGCAGTGGGCAGCATGGCTGGATACTGTTGACTTCCAAGGGGAACCATGGCTGGAGATGCTAAAACCTCCCGCAAACTTTTTCGGAGACCTTGACGATTACTGCTACTGAAGCTGGTAAGACGGTAAGCATCAGAACAAAAATAAAGCTTTATATATAGCTTACTCTGAAATTTTGTGTATCTAGAAGGTTACAAAACATGGAAAGAGCATTTCACGCATCTTACTGCAGAACAAGTTCTGGCGTATTTGACGCTGATAGCGGTGAGACGGCAAATTGGCTCTTAACAGGATCAATTTGTCGTAAATCACTTCCAATTAACCCATGTAGCTATGCTTTAACCCAAGCCTTTTTGTCTTCCGCTTTCGAGCTTTTGAGTTGCGCGTGGCCTTTTAGAGTTGGACGGTCGATGACCTCTTCCATTGTAATGACGGGGGCAATTTGAGCTCTGTAGTGTGCTAGCAATAACACTGTGGCTGCATGGCCACCGTGTATTCCGTAATACGGCGTTGTTAGAGAAATATACTCGACCTCTTCAGGGCTAGTGAATAAGATGTTTTGTGAAATTTCTCGCATCTGTGCAGTAAGTCTAGACGAAGGATATTGATATGAATGACTAGGAGGTGAGAGTTGTGTTCTCTTCGTCATGAGTGCTCTGAAACTGTCAATGCCCAAGCTGCGCGAATGTATGTGGAGAATGATGCAAGATTGGACCTATTGGGAAATGGAACTTGGACAGTCTATTCGAGTGAGCGTTCCATCCGTAGTGTATGACGTCGTTCGTCTTGTTTCACGAAAACAACCAGTGGAAGACGGTGGCGCCAGCTGAGCCTTCCAAATTATCGAGTCGCGTCAGAATCCAACATGTTGATATATCGGATGTAGTGGCGATGATCAACCTTTGGACGGACCCAGATGCCATTATACGCCGTCCGAACAGCTTGGGCTAACTGATCCAGCATCCGGGTATTATGCATGGTGTAATGTGCCGTCCAGGCCAAGTAAGATTGGCCACCCTCAACCAAGTACAGCTGTGATAGAGTAGAACAAGACTGTATAGTCATGGGCTCGGAAATACGGCGGCATTCGCCAAGTGTTGCCCCTTTTTTCCATACCAATTTCCCGTGAAAAACGACCTGTACTAGACCTGCGGACTCATTCTGTACGAATCTCGTTCGGAGGATGCAACTATCATCGGCTACTATAGACCATGCTTTAATTCACTTATGTGGATCTACGCCATGAACAATCTTGAAGATTTGAGTATCGATGTATGACCTTAGTTGATGCAAGTTTCCCCGCACGCATGCTTCCTGCAGCGGTGAGAATGGATAAATATCCTGTATGAAGCTGGTTGTTATCCCACAGGCCGCGCAAATGTCTTTGGTGGTCGCGTTGTCAAGGTTGGGAAGAGTACCGCGGAGTTGAGACAGTTCTGCGTTGTTTTGGCCATCGCAAACGGGCATCGGGTAAAGCACTGGCACGTGGAAAAACTACGTCACTTATCATTTCAAGGCTGGGACTCTTAAAAATATCCTCCACCATTGAAGAAAGACCGGCTTTTCTGTATTGGCGACAAGTTGCATGGCTTTGAGATAGTTTCCACCATGAGTGAATGATGTGTGGTGTAGGCCTATACTGGTCGCTATGATACCCAGCAGCCGAGCCCAGAGAGCTTGAAGGACCATTGTTAGCAGCCATTGCCCCCGCCCCTAATTACTGTTGTGAGCCCTGGAGTATCTTCTGGGCACCTGCCACAGGCGCCATATCGAGAGTATTGGTACAAGAACGCTTGATGGCTTCGACCAGTTCATTCTTACACTCATGCTCTGAAGGAATGCAGCTATAACCACCAACGACCAAAGTTGTCAGTAAGTCTTCAATACTCGTATCAAAGAAGCTGAAGACTCGCGAGTTTTTGTTAAGACGTATCAGCTCTGCTCGCACACGGTGACCAGCCGCTTTTAGAAATTGTCACAGTTTTATTTAAACTACGAAGCTAGAAAGAGCGAGTCGGTCTCTCTAGAGGCCAAGCAAGCATCGGCTTGTACTTGGCCGACTGTCTCATGTAGGGTTAGAACATTATGAATATTAAATATGCAAAAATTGGTATCTACAGGCCCTAATTAGCCCTATGACTATCTGATACTTTGTGTTGTTATAAAAATAAATGTTAGGACAAAGAGCCTTAATGTTTCAGATATTTTACAGGCTCGCATTATTCTTCGAATCAGATGATACACCCAAACAAGGAGAGGAGTCGTTGAAAGCCAACCAATTACTCAACAAGCAAGCTACCTAAAGACTCAGTTTCTCCATGCTGGATCGCAACTATATGATAAGTCTAGGGATCCTAAAGTTGCTGGAATTTGGATCAAGTTGTAAAGGAGCGTTAGGGTAGTGAGGAGTGTATTATGTAGCTCCGTTCATTGAGATACGTAAAGTATTTACTTTTACTCATAAGCTTTTTACCGAAACCTGCTCTGGGTAGCTTTGCTCAATGAGTCCTTCTATTGTTCATTTTCATCACTTACTGCACTACTTGGTGGATGCCCCACTCTGAACTAAGTGCAGCAGACTGGGTAGCGTAAACCACTGAACATTCTTGGCGCCCCATAGGTAAGTCAGACCAGTGGTGCTAGATTTCCACAATACAATCAGGTCACGAGACAGGGTGCCTAGTGGATATCACTATTTAAGTTATATACTAAATACCTACAGTAGTTAAAACCCTAGTTCTTATATAATATAATATATATCTAAGTATAATAAATTATAAGCCCAGAAGCCTTAATGTAATTAAATAATTTTAATTAATTTTAAATAAACTTTTAATTAATTAATTAAGTATTTACTTTAATTAACTTTAAATTAATTAATTTAAAAATAAATTTAAATTTTTTTATATTTATATAATATTAATAATATAATTATATTATATTTAAAATACTATATAACTTAAATATTTTAATATTAAAATATTTTATTAAAAATCTTTAATTTTTTATTAAATTAATAT